AATCTAGTCTAAAAGCAATGATCAACGTGTATTGCTGGAACATAATAAACCTAACCTAAACCTAAGCTAAATCTAATTTAAGAGCAATAATCAACGTGCATTGCTGGAACATAATGAACCTAACCTAAACCTAAGCTAAATCTAATCTAAATAGTTTCAATCTCTAGGAGAATAATATATCCTCTGCCATTTTTTAAATTTCCATAAAAAGCAACGAGAAGTTGCTAATTTATATGTTATTGCATTCCGAATTACGTGAATTATTCCAACGAGTGTCAATTGACTGCTTTCAGAAATCTCTTCTTCTGAAATATCTTTGTACTTTCTCTTTTTACGTCTTTTATTATAGCTTTCACACTCTAGTCTGTACAGATATCATACTATTATATCATACTATTATCGCATCATACAACATCAGATGTATAATTACCATAGCAAATTGAACAAATTTGCGAGTACAAATAATATTAGTATCGTTCGCTGTGTCACATGTGTAGAGATAACTTATCGAACTGCATAAAAGTAGCAGTATATTAATTATCGCGATTGTTATTATGAAAAAGAAAAATTCCTCTAATCTCTGAGAGAACACACGTTCTCTCGAATATATCAGTCATTTTCTCCTTTTTTACAATCAACGTGCACGTAAGCCGGTAAGTGTAATACCAATAATTTACAAGATGTGTTATTAAACGTCATTAGAACGCTCGGAAATCGAAGCGAAATTACAATGATAAACGCAGTTGAAAACGGTCGCAGAACAACGAGGATAAACGATGAAGAAGATAAGATACAAAATACTGTGAAATTACAGTCCATTTGGCATTGCATTGCAGTAACAGCGAATTATTGTACAATGAATATCGCAATGCAAACGTGCTTTTCTCGGGCGATTTCTCGCGGCGACGAGAAAGACACTTCTTTCGACGTATTTCCCAAGGAGGTTTCTAAATGCATTAGATAATAGAGCAGAAAGCGACGAGAAAAAAATGACCAAAATTGCGAAATCGAGG